ATGCCCAAATCCGCGAAGTCCCTCAAAAGCCAACAAGGAGACTGAGTCCTGCATATAAAACCGAAGAGCCTTTATTTTATGCAAGTTTGCAAACTCAGTCTTTCTGTATGTCCAACGTATTGGAATAAACGGAGAGCCCCAAGCTCGGTTAGAGTAGGGTTTTTATAGTAGTAAAGTTGGGGGTGAGGGGTTTCTAAGGTTCAGGACCCCTGGTTGGCTGACATTTGTCTAGGGGTGTCCTGGTGAGTGTGTGCTGGCAGGTGATCCTATCTACAATAATTGGAACGTTAGGCATTTCCTTTGGATGGTCTGTTCTTGGGTGGTGCTCGGGGAATCTCAGTTTGTGGTTCTTCCTGCCACCAGGTATTGCTTCAGGGTGAACTACTGAGACTCAGGCCTCCATTAAACTTATCGATGGCTGAATCCTACTCTGGCAGGTGATAATGGTTGGAAGTAAAGAACCTTCTTTAGGTGATCTGTTCATATTTAGCTTATCACGGCTGGCTCCTACAGGGAGAATTCATTTAATTTTTTTTTCTAGTTTCCAGAGGAGTGGTTCTCAGCCTTCCTAATGCTGAGACCCTTTTATACAGTTCCTCAGGTTGTGGTGACCCCAATCATAAAATGATTCCATTGTTACTTTATAGCGGTAATTTTGCTACTGGTATGAATTGTCTTTCTGATACGTCACCCCTGTGGGGTTGCAACCCATAGACCGAGAACTGCTGTTCAGGAGGCTTTCCATATTGCTCGGTACCTTGCTGCCTGGCGTCTTCAAAGCCAGCAATGACAGGTTGAGTACCTCTCAGGTCATGACAAACACTCTGGTCTTCTGTCCCTCCTACTTTCAAACATATCCTCAATGACACTGGAGTTGCCCCAGTAATGCACACTAATCTCCTGTTATTTAAAGGGCAGTTAACATTACTTCCCCTTTGCTATGTAACATCTCACAGCTGGAATAAATTTAGGCTCCTTCATTCTAATCCCAGTTTACAAGTAGACAATGCAGGGCATAAAATTTAGGGAGGTTCTGTGCACATTATTTCTCGTTCTCATTTGCTAAGACATCCCCCCAGTTCTTACCCACAAAGTCTCTTTTGAACCTCTACCTGGAGATATTAGCTAAGTCAGAGTGGACCCTTCATTGCAGACTTTTTTTTTTCCTGGCAAATGCCAAGCTTCTCTGCAAACATTCAGAGCTAAGCACTTGAATAGGGTTTTCACACTTGTCTTTCATGCTGCGGCCTGGAGGTAGCTCTGAGCTGTGGCATCACACAGACTTGAATTGAAATTCTTACTCCAGGACTTAAGGCCCATGAACCTTGAACAATTTAACTTGCCCAAGCTTTAGTCTTCCTCTGAAGACATTACCATCGGCCCAGACCAACTGTCTGGAGGGCGGTGAAGCTGCAGTAGAGACTCAGGATCATTTTCAGTTGTTTTTCCTTTTCACTTCTTCCTGATGCTCAGCTTTCTTGCCTGGGGACATAACCCCACAGAGTATAAATCTGGTGTTGGATCGCATCCTGAATGTGTATCCTAACATCCGAAATAGTGACCAGAGAAGCATATTTGAAGCTGTATAAATCTAGGGCCCAAGATTAGCCCATTAATTAAACTCATTGATCCATAAACTTGTTTATGAAATTATGACTAAGTAGGGATGTAAGATAAACCATGAAGAATGGTCTGGATACACTGGAGAATAACAAACATTTATTGGGTTAGCTCCAGCCCCGAAAGGTCTTTTTCTCTGCTGAAAACCGACTTGGCTAGCATTTTGCTTTAAATCTCAGAATCTCAAAATGCTCTCAATGTTCATCCTCCTTTCTTCCAGCTAGACCTTAAGAAGAGTGGCCACTGGATGGGATGGGATGCGGCTTGGGTGACGTGATACATTTAGAATACAGGCAGACACTGGCTTGTTTCTTACACTCTCCCCGTATTTGCATGAGAATGTGGCCCCCCATTTTCACTTGGGTAGTAGATAATGCCGTTTGCCAAGTAAGAACTAAACTACCTCCTCACAGGTCAGCTTAAAAACACACTCAGTGCTCAGAGGCCGGGCAAAGACCCTTTATCTTACTTTCTATTTGTTTTCATTGCTGCCAAATCACCTTCCAAATCCCCACGCTTCTGGAGGCAGCTAAGTTTGCAGGAGGCCCCAGATCTCCACAAAACAGGTAGAATGCATTTCCTTTTCACCTGCTTAGGCTACAGACCTCCAGTGTCATGCAGAGCAAAGAAATCCAGCCTCCCTTGGCTTGAACTGTTTGTTTTGAAAGAGAAAAGACTAATCCCAGCAGAATCATTAAATGAAAATGAGAACGTTTAGGGGGGGAAAAAGCAGTCAGCTCAAGAGTCTCAAGGGAACAAACTTGTTGACTTGTTTAGGTGGAGATGAACTGTTCTCAAGGTAATTCAGGATATGAAAACGCTTATTTTGTGGATGAAGATTTTCCTGTAAATTCGACTTGTTGCTGACCCTTCTTTCCCCTAAGTTAAATGTATTTTGGTGGAAATAACTTAGCCCTATGACCTGGAAAAGTGACCTGTCCTGGGGACCTTTACGTGAGAATTGAACTCTTGGCCCATCATCAATGCAGCACAGGCTGCAATAGATTATTCCTAGGCTAAAGTCGAATCTGAAGTTCAACAAAATCATGTCAGTTTTTATTCCCTAGTGTCATTTAGTAAATGAAGAAGGCAATGAGCCTGGATTGCAAAAAATAAAGAAAAAAAAATCTCAAGGTAGAATGTAGCTCTATACAGCAGTAGCAATTCTTCACTGTCAAGGGGGGCAGGGCTGAAACTTAATGAGAAAGGGCTATGATCATCTATATACATCCTAGAGGTTATCGGGAAAATGAGAATGCAACTTCTGGCATCTGGATTCTCCTAGGAACACAGTATAGGCCATGTCCAGACTCGGTAGTGGTGACGGTTTTCCACAGGAGTCGTGTTTCTTGTCCTGAAAGGGCATTTTCTGAAAACCATCTCTAGATTGTTCTCCATTGGTGGGAAACACAGGCGAGGCTCAATAAGTCATTCCCAAGCCTCTGTGAGAAAGCTTTAACCTTCTCTGAGGTTCCGAAGATCTAGATGTGAAATAAGGGGGTAATGACTTCAGCGGGTTTCAAACCATTTAGTCTTCCTGCCAGAACGTTTCCATTCATCCCCGGCCAACGCCCATCTTCCGCGGCCTGGCAGCAAACCCTCTCACCTCTCCACACCTGTGCTTCTGCCTCTCTGGTCCTTTGGCTGCCCTTTGGGGTTTGCATACTTGTTTAACTGGTTCCTAGACGCCTAGTACGGATCTTACCTTACATAATTCTGGCTATAACAAATTAAGAGTGGGAGTCAATACAAACACAAATGGATCTAATTTATAATGAGAATGCTTCAATTTTTTTTCTCTCTACAAATTACACATGGGCTTTCAAAGGAGAGAATGAAGAGTGGGCTTGAGCAAACAGCTAATTAAGGCTGAGGTTGGCAAAAGACTATGAGAGCAACAGATAAAGCATAAATCGCAGTTTTTATCGCAGGGCAACACCGTTCGGCAAAGGCAAAGGAGAACAGTTATCTTTGTTATCTGTGCACCGATAAGATTCAAGCTTCCAAGAGTGACCGGCACACAGTAGGTGTCCCAAGACCACCACCGAAAGACTGGGCATATCTAAATCCTGATAAATTAGTGTTACAAATAAAACGAACCTCCCCCCGCCGTATGCTCAGGCGTTGCAAAGGCAGTACCATTGTTCATCTCTTTACACCCCGCCTTTTCCATTGTTTTGGGCGTTCTAATTCTTTCACACGTGCCTGTGACTTTAGAGATCACAAGCACACAATCAACCCAGAAACCACCGACTTAAATGTTATTCAAAGCAAGGTGCCCCCAGGTTCCTGCTTTTAAATGAACTGCAGCTTCTAACGGGTTCAGTTTCTGGGCAGCGTTCTTTCCCGCCTTCTTGGAGTTGAGGCGAGGGCTAAAACAATCGGCATTCTCTCGCCGTTCCCTCAACCTCGAAGTTTCTCTTTCCTCCTCTTCCCTTCCCTCAGCTCCATTTCCTTTCACAGACCGTCGTTTCTCAAGGGTCTTTGCCCCGCTTCCTCCCTCTCTGCCTGCCAGTTCCTTTGATCCTTTCTTTTGAGCCCCTATTCCCAGAAGCTGCAGAAAATACCTTCTTTCCCCCCCCCTTCACGTCACTTCCCTCCCCTCTCCCATCTCCCTCTCTTCTCGGAGGTGAGTCCCTCTAGAGGCCAGCGCTTTCTTAGCTCCGTCCTTTCCGACGGCGAGCGGAATTCGGAGAGAAAGAAGGGGGGAAGAAAGGAGGAGAAAGAGAACCAGAGCCAGGGGAGGAAAAAAAAAAAAAAAAAAACCAAAGAAAAAAAAACCCACCCCAAACCACTACGGCCTAGAGCGCGGAGGCCCGGGAGCGGCGTCGCCATGGCAACGGGCGCCGGCAGGAAGCGAGGGACGCGCGCGAGGGCGGGCGCGGGGAGGGGGCGGGGCGGGGGAGGGGTCGGCTGCCCCGGAAGCACCTCCCCGCAGCCCCCTCCCCGCCGGCCCGCGGCCCCCCGGCCTAGTCCCCCACCCTCGCGGCGGGGCAGGAAGTGACAGGCCCGCGCGAGCCCCCGGCCTGGCGGAGCCGCGGCGCGGCCGGCACCGGGACGGCGGGAGGGGCGGGGAGCGGCGGCCGCGCCGGGCACCTCCCACCGCGCCTGGGCCCCCGCCCCTCCAGGAAGGGGAGGAGGCGGAGCGCCGCCGAGACCGAGCGACCCCCCCTCCCCCGCCCCTGAGGTGGACGCCCCCCGCGAGGACTCGGGTGCGGAGCCCGGCGCGAAGGTAACCGAGCGGCCGCGGGCCGGGGAGGGGCCGCATCCCGGGGGCTCGGCGGCGCGGGGATGTTTCCTCAGCCACCTCGGCGTGTGCAACGCCCAGGTACCTCCCCCAGCCGCGCTCCTGCCTCCCGCTCTGCTGCGCTCTGCGGTGCTTCGGTGCTGCGCGTCCCGGTCTCCGTGCTTTGCGCTCGCTGTGTTCGGTGCTGTGTGTCCGTCACCTCGTTGCCTCTGGCCGCTCGTCTTCTCATTCATTTCTCCCTGCCCCGACTTGGATCCTTACCTCCGAGCATGCTGTCTGGTTATTTCCCTGCTTCTCGCGCTCCGCCGGACTCCCCAGGCTCCAGTTCCTTGACTTCTGTGCCCCTCCTGCTTGGCTCCCTACTATTAGAAAGCACATTGCCCTGCTTACGAGTCCGTTCGCTCCGGGCACAGCGCTGTATCCACCCCCTTCTCCCGGTGTGCTTGATTTCTCGTTGGAACTGCGTTTTTTTTCATCAGGGTTCTGTGTAGAACAAGAACCCGTGGGGGGGCATTCCGAGGCATCCCCAACCCCTGCTTCTTGCTCCATTCTTACTGCAACAGAGTTTTACACTCAGGGACTTGATCCTATAGGCCCAGTACCGTATCCACCTCAATATTACTTTCTAGTCCCCTCCCATCGGTGTGCAGCTACCTCAGTTGAGTCTTTCCACATCCACACCAAATGGAGGTACCTTTTAGGGTGGCCTTTCACTCTTCTCCCAGTTTTTAATTTTTAATTCAGATTGCTTCCTAAACTCCCATCTTCACTTTCTATAGTTAATCTGGAACTCACAATGTGACTTAAAAAAAAAATGTGTGCCTGCGAGATTTTGGATGGCAATTTCCCCAGTGGAAAGACTTTAAATTGGCCCTTTTCTGTTCAACGATCTGGGGGAAATGAAGGGGTCATTGAGTGTATGAACTTTATTTCTTTTTATACAAGCCTCTATTGCAAGTAACAGGGTCTGATGTCTGTGAGTCCAGTGAGCTAAGTCCAGCAATGTCTACATACAACTGTGCCATGCTGCCTCTAATCCTTGCCCACTTTTTTCCTTCACATGCTGATATTGAGGACTCATGGGTCTGTATCTGTTTAGTGCTTTGATATTTTGGCAAACAAGGTGTGGGGAGAAAGGTAGATTGGAGGTGGAGCTGGTGATGAAATGTCCTCTGTGTGCCCCTTCCATTCTATCCATGTGTGGAGTGACATCGGCTCTTCCTGCAGTGGGTAGAGTTCTCTGGGGACAGGGATGTGATGCGGGGACGCTGGGGCAAGAATTAGGAGAAATCTCAACTTTAATTGACAAGGCCAAGAGTTTGGCTTTTATTTACGTGTTTGCTCGTTTGGGACACATTCCTGAGAGAAAGCCGTTCACCTAATGAAACTGTAGACAGCCCATAGTGGAAATTGTGGCCAGCTTTATATTCCTGAGCTGCATAGAGCTTTGGTGACCTGATGTTCTAGTAGTCTGGCGTCTCAGAAGTAAAGAAAGTACAGCGCGAGTTTAACAAAAGAAAGAAGAGAAAAAGGAGAAGAGTAATGTCATTTTAGTGCTGCTTTAGAAGAACGTTTCTTTTATTTGTGCTAGTTTTGATGTAGCTTCTAGAGGGTAAATTCCTACACTTCGGTAAAGTTGAATCTTGTTTTTTGGAGTCAGAATGCTACTTAGGAGTATGTCACATGCTCACTTTGTTACCTTACTTGCTAATAGGGACACTCAAGTTATATAAGGAGGAGTGAGAGGCCCGAGGCTTTAATTAGTAGCTTGGCCTGTAGCCAGTCAGCTACTTGGGATATGTGGGTAGTCCCCAGCGTTTATCCCCTTCCATGCCCTGTCTGCTCTGACTGCCTTATCAGCATCCAGGGCTCTCCATGAAGTGAGGGTAGTGAGTACCCACGCTGGATGACACTGCTTTGATGGCAGGATTTTTAGTTTGCTTTTTTTTTTTTTGTTTTGGGAAGAGGCAAAGTAAAGACTTGATACACAGAAAATCCTCGTTTCCACTATTGTAAAATGGGGACAATAATAAGAAGTAGTGCATGTGAGGGGTGTAGGCCAAGAAAAGGAGGCAACTAAAGGGGTCCCAGGGATGCTGTCCATTGTTAGGATGGTAATGGTGTGATAGAGATAAAAGTGACAGCAAGGGTTAATGGGTCAAGTTTAAACTGTTGAAAATTGCTGGGGCACGTAGGTGGTCACTTTATTTAATGGTGCTCAGGAGGAGGTAGGTATACAAGGTCTCTTGAGACAGTGACTAGCTTGAAAAGATGATGGCATGAGGGAAACATGATGTCAGATCCTGTTGCAGATTTGAGAGTTCTAAGATCTCAGAGGAAGAATCTTAGATACTTTGTGGGCTGACTGTGGTTTTGAATAATAATAATAATGATAATAATATGAAATGACATTTTAGGTTCGAGGTATAACTTTAATCCTTTGCTGATTCCCGTCTAGGGCTTGAGTCAGAGCACCATTCTTGGGGACCCTGGAACACTGGCATGGAGACTGAGAGTGAGCAGAACTCTAGCTCCACCAATGGGAGTTCCAGCTCAGGGGGCAGCTCTCGGCCCCAGATAGCGCAGATGTCCCTGTATGAACGGCAAGCCGTGCAGGTGAGACTCAGCTGCGGCCGAGTTCTGTGAGTATTGGCTTGGGTTAGGCCAAGATGCTGGAAGATCACCATCCCCAGATTCTTTCTGGAGAAGCTAAAGAGTGAGCTTTTTTCCACTTCAGAATCTTAGCAATTTACAAAATTAGAGCAAGCAAACCCAGTAGGAAATTTGGTTGTTTTGTTTTTAGCTGTGTACCAAGTTCAAGGCAACTCGGGCAACTTAGTGAGAACCTGTTTTGTAAATGTGATTCATTGATTCAATACGAAGTACTATAAAGTTCACACATGAATAAATAAGGTTTAGTCTATTTAACTAGGTTTTAATTAACCATTTCCCTTCATTGTTTAAAAACCCTTTATTATTTACTATTTTTTGTGTGTGCATGTTTGTGTGTGTTTATAGTGCTGGATATGTGGAGGTCAGAGGACAACTTATGGGTTTTGTTTCTGTAGTATATATAGGTCCAGTTGGCACACGAGCTTCTGGCAAGTTCCCTATCCACCTATCATTTCATTTTAAGAGTGTTGGTAGCTGGGCGGTAGTGGCGCATGCCTTTAATCCCAGAACCTGGGAGGCAGAGGCAGGTGAATCTCTGAGTTCAAGGCTAGCCTGGACTACAGAGTGAGTTCCAGGACAGACAGTGCTGTTACACGGAGAAATCCTATCTTGAGAAAACCAAGAAGAAAACAAAAGCAAGCAAACAAAGAGTTCCAGGATTGCACATGTGCACCACTGGATCTGGCCTTTTGTTTTAAGTTGTTCTGGGGATTGAACTCGGGTCCTTGGGCTTGTGCTGCAAGTGCTCTTCCCCACTGAGCCCTCTTTCCTACTCTGATAATCAAGTTCTCAGTTTTGGGTCTCATAAGTTACTCTGACTAGAAATATCATGGACCTCTTTAGACATTTACTTTTGGACAAACATATCTCATCCTTTAAATACCCTGTTTTGAAATGAAGCATTTTACTTAAAAGATTTTGATAGAACAGTTGTAATTATTAAGAACATAGCAAAATCCAGTTAACACTAAAGTGATTACTATCATTTTTATAAATAATCATTGACATGGCACAGTAGATATTTGAACTTATCAATTAATTGACAGTTTTGCCTGGTAGAATTGTTCAGAAGTCACTACTGGCTTTCTGTCATCTATCTCCAAACAATTAAGGATCTGTATATCTATGCTAGACACCTACAACACTTAGCTTTTTGCTTTTATTATTAGTGTCTATTTATTTATTTATTTGAGATGTGGTTTACTCTGGAACTCATCACCTTCCTGCCTCATTCTTTTGAGTGCATCTGTCACCATGTCCAGCTTTTTTCCTTATCCTCACCAGTGTCCCATTTATTTGCAGTTTATCTAGATCTTCATATATATTTCCAGGACTCATTTTTGGAAGTAAAAGTTGATGTCCGCTGGTTTCCTTTTCCTGCTGTGTAAGGATAGCATATAATCAGCTGCCTGTCCTGTTTTAGATGGCCGTATGGACTACAGCATAGTCACGACGAGTCAGACAGTGATGACGGTTCAGCCTCCATCCCCCTTGGTTTATCTCCTTCCTGACTCCTTTTCTGGTGGTTACGGTGATGTGCATAGGACCAGGAATGATTACTTTTATTTTGTGTCCTGTCTTCTAGGCTCTGCAGGCCTTGCAACGGCAACCCAATGCAGCTCAGTATTTCCACCAGTTCATGCTCCAGCAGCAGCTCAGTAATGCCCAGCTGCACAGCCTGGCAGCCGTTCAGCAGGTGAGAGGTCAGCAGCCGGCTGGGACAAGAGGGAAGGGGTCAGGCACTGTAGGTTTACGGGAGAGGAGCAGTCTGGGGCAAACTGCATCCTACACCAAATCCTTCCTTTGCCTCTTGTACTAGTAGGAGAAAGGGTGGTTCTTAGATTCTGGGGTTGCAGTATGAACTGTGGGATACTCTTTAGTGGTGGAATGGCTGTGTTGTAGACCTGCTTTGTCTAATATGTTAGCTTCCAGCATATGTAGCTATAGAGTACTTGAAATGTGACTAGTTCAAACTGAGATGACACTATAAGATTTAGAAGAGCCCGATTGATCAAAAGAAGGTAAGCTGTCTCAGTAGTTTCTAATTAGTTTAATGTTGAAATGATAATATCTCTCCGCAAATGGTAATATTTATTTTGTATGTATTGATTAATAAGTTACTGAAATTTATATCATCCCACTTAATACTTTTAAATATGCATAGTAGGAAATTCCATATTTGATGTTGTATTGGACAGCTCTGCATTAGATGTATCAGGTGACTCATGATGAGACTGAGAGAGAGAGGACCAGTTGCCTCCTACCCTGATGGTACCAGGCAGCTTATATGGTCATTTGAGGTTGTGGGGATAGTGATTTTCCTTACTTCAACTCCTCTCTTCTTACCTGAAATCTCTGTTTTGTACCATGAATTAATACCAGAAGACAGGGAGACACACAGCCTTTTCATTGTTTCTGCTATGCTTCCCTGTTAACAGGCCACGATTGCTGCCAGTCGGCAGGCTAGCTCCCCGAACAGCAGCACCACACAGCAGCAGACTGCTACCACCCAGGCCTCGGTGAGTGCTGCCTCTCCTCGAGGGCGGTGTCTGTCCAGTCTGGTCTCTGCAGCTGGGCCGCGGGTTATCGTGTCTCCAGTGGATATTTATTGCTCTTATTGGCAAGAAAAGAACAGGGAACCTATTTGAGTCTGTAGTTTTTGTTTTCAGACAGGCTTTCTCTGGATAGTCCATGCTGCCTTGTACTTAGAGCGACCCTCCTGCCTCTCCCTCTCAAGTGCTGGGATTGCAGGCGTGCATTGTCTTTAAATGGGAAAACCTAAAGAAGGAAGGAGAAAATCCTGCGCAAGAAGAAATGACAAATGAAAAGAAAATGTTCGTTTCTGCCCTTTGCCTGCTCAAGTGTTGGCATTAGTGGTTGTAGGATTGCTTTCTTTTTGATTGTTTGTCTTTTTGCTTTCGTAATACTCCAGAGTGTCTAGGATGACAGTTTTGGGTAGGAAGTTATTATTTATTTCCCTTGATTTCCTGAGGGTGACATCCTGTTCTTGGCTGTGCCCCTCTGAAGTTGTCGTTGTGTATATTTTCTTTGATTTCTCTACAAATCCTCAGTCCTGGTTCCTTATGTACTATACAGATAAATCTGGCAACCACATCAGCTGCCCAGCTCATCAGCCGATCCCAGAGTGTGAGCTCTCCCAGTGCTACCACCTTGACCCAGTCTGTGTTACTGGGGAACACTACCTCCCCACCCCTCAACCAGTCCCAGGCCCAGATGTATCTGCGGGTAAGACATAGCCATAGCCACCATTGTCCTGGGGGCATAGTTCATAATTTGTCTTCCCTGGCAAAGAATGGAAGTATTTTATGTATTTATTTTTGTGGTGTCGGCGGGGAGCCAGGGCAAGTGCTCTGCCCCTGGGCTGTACCCTTGGCCTGACAGCTGTTTGATTCTCGTCATCCACATGTTTGAAGACAAGTTGACCTACTCCCCGTGTCTTATGTAAGCTAGAAAAAGTGCTTTTAGATAACATTGAGATTGTCTGTTGGAAGATGTGGCCTTGGCATTTTGTGCGACCTGGATACACAAATTCTAAGTATCTCTCGGCTTACCTGTTTCTGTATAGACCTATGTGTCTGACATCCTCGTTGTCTAAGTGTCTTCCTTATCATTCCGTAGTCCTCTGTACATTCTAGGCTTTCTTCTGGATGAGTCGTCACGTTTGGAGAATGAGAGGTTCTTGGGTTGGTGTGGAAAGGGGCAGGCTCACTTGTTTAATATCTGCTGTTTATTTTGTCTTGTGGTCCTTTCCTTCCATTTCTCTGTCTTCTCTTTTCTTCTTTTTCCTCTCCTACCTCCTCCCCTTGCCAGCCACAGCTGGGGAACCTATTGCAGGTTAACCGGACCTTGGGCCGGAATGTGCCTCTAGCCTCCCAACTCATCCTGATGCCCAATGGGGCAGTGGCTGCAGTCCAGCAGGAGGTGCCGCCCGCTCAGTCTCCGGGAGTTCATGCAGATGCAGATCAGGTCAGTGGCAACCACTTACTGTGGAGAAGCCCGGGAGCATGAAGGGGATGACCATAGACCAGGCCCCATACTCTGCCCCTTTATTGAATTTTATAGTTCTTATTTTGTGTGTTTTAGCTTCTTTTTCCTCAACTCCTATAAATCCCTTAAAACTTGTGAGTTGATTTGAGCTAAAGAAGGAAGTAGAACTGCCTAAAAAGATCCCTTTGGATCTGGAAGTCTTAAAATACAAGTTGATTTTTCTGGGCATCCTTTTGTCTTCTGTAAGGTAGTTTTATTGAGTCTTAAGTCCCTCATAGAAATGTCACCAGAAGTTCAGGATGTTGGAGGAGTTCTGTAGAGTTAGGTGTGAGCTCACCCCGGCTGAGTTGCTGGTAGGATGTTTGGTTCCTTCTGTTCTTGACTTACTGTAGTTCTCAGCTCTCAGTCTCCTGTCCCTGTCCATGTTCTCAATAGTCTTTCTTCCATTTACTTTTTGTGACTTTTCCCCAAAACACATATATTTTAATTTTTAGCATATGGATGAGATGTAAACTAGGGCCTTATAATGTTTATCTCATTCTAAAAATCTAGCAGAAAGTGGATAAATACCTTGTGTTTGGATGTGTGTTTAGAGCTTTGGGGGATTAAAAAGAGAGGAGTCAACTCTTCAAAGAGCTGGGGGGACAGCAGTGTCATACGAAATGCAGCTGACCCTAAGTGACGCCTGAGCTTCAAGAACTGGCTGTTAATTTGCAGAGTACCTGAGTGGAGTGTTGAAGATAGGCAGATTTGATTTGGAGTGAGGAGAAAATTGACAAAGAAGAGCAAATGTGAGGGCACAGTTCATTTATGCACATGGGACCCCTGTGGAAAGGGTGGGTAGTAACGACAGCAGGGATATGATGTAGGTCTGTGCTAGACCCTTTGCCTCTCATGCACTTTGGGTTGGATGGATCTGCAGTTTTGTCAAAAACAATGCAAAGAGACGATGGGCCTAATGGTAGAAGATGCCATTATTTGGAAGGAGACTGAAAGCCAAGGAAAGGAGGTTGTAGTTTTCTTCATGTGGATGACTTTAAAATAGCAGAGACCATTATTGGCTAATAAACAGCAGATAAACAGAATAAGAAAAATACTTCAGAAAGAGTCAAGGTGCTGGGGAGGGGAACTGCTAAAAGACTCTTGGGGTCATCGAGTTATAAAATACCTTTGTGGGCTCTTCTGGCAGTGGAAGGCACAGAGGAGCTGGTTGTGTTTTTATAGCAGTTCTTTAATTTATCCGTCATCCATCTGTCCATCATCCACTCGTCCGTCCGTCCGTCCATCCATCCATCCATCCATTGATCTGTCCATCCATCCATCTGTCCATCCATCCATCCATCCATCCATCCATCCATCCATCCATCCATCCATCTATCCATCCATCCATCCATAGACACGTGCATACATTTATGCATGCATCAGCAACAGTGAATATGAACATAGTGGCTAGAATGCATACATGGTGTCTGGGGCCTGCTACAACTCTGCATTTAACTGTAGCATCTTGATTAAGTGCTCTAATGTATTTCTGCTGTTGTCTCTTCATCTGTATAGTAGATAGAGTATATCCAATGTACGGCATGTTGTGGGGACTAATTGAGTTGATAATTGCTTGTATCATATCTAGGCTTAAAGTTTACGGTTGTTAACTATTTTCAGTCACTCTGTAGTCTTGGATGCTCAGGAAAGCCATGATACCTACATTTGTGGAGATTATGAACCTTTAAAGTACTAGTTATTAAGCAAACAGTACCTGAGTGGTATAATAATTGCTTCATTAGTAAGAAGAAGATGATCTAAGAATAAAGAAAAGCACTTAGTTAGGCTTGCGATGGGCTAGAAATCAAGGAGGTGACATTTAACACGGGCTCTATAAGCATTAGCCAGGTATGGATGTAAGAAAATGCTGAGTGCCTGGAGAACATGATGTCTAAAAATCCCGAGGGAAGAAGAGTTGGTTTGCTTGATGATTATAGGATGGCCGATTTTCTGGGAGGACTGGACCATTGGGAGAAATCTCATCTCATGGTTTTTGGGTCTGTGGTTAGGACTTTAGTCCTTATACAAGGGTGATGGGAAGCTAGAGAAGGACTTCAAAGCGTGAAAGTGACAGTGAGTGTGTCTTTTTTGCTTTAGTGTAAAGACTGTAAAGGCTGTTGAATGTGTTAATAGAGAAAAGAGTAAGGTAGGAGAAAGATGGTGTTGGGGTGCATAGCAGTGAAGATGGATAGGAATGCGTGGATTTGAGTAACAAGACTTATTGAAGGTGAGCGATTCAGTTTGGAGGGCCTGAAGGATCTGAACCTGTAGAGCTGTTGGTGCTGTGTCTGAGGTGAAGACTGGAGAATTGGGTTAGGCTGAAGTTGTTTTTTTGTTTATTATTTATTTTGTTTTTTTCCGAGACATGGTTTCTCTGTGTAGACCTAGCTGTCCTGGAACTTGCTTTGTAGACCAGGCTGGCCTCGAACTCATAGTGATCCCCCTGCCCCTGCCTCGTGAATACTGGGATTAGAGGCGTGTGCCATCATGCCCAGCTTGAAGTTCAGTTTTTTATACATGCCAAATTAAAGATGCTTTTGAGACATGTATGAGATACCGAGAGAGCAGCTCTGCATGCTCCTCGAATTTGGGAAAGCTAGCTGAGAGCTAAACATGTGAAAATGGTATGGCAGACATAGATGATACATCTATTGAAGTTAAGGAATGTTTAAAATTGTTTATGGAGAGCATATGGTCTGTTGAGAAGAATGTCTAGTAGAACTCTGAGAGTTGGGGTGAGTCCTTAGGAAATTTGAAGGTGATGGGCTGCCAGGGAAGCAGGAAAGAACAACAGAGAGAAGCTGTGGGTATCATGAAGACAGTGGAACAGGACAGTGCAAGACTGCAATGGGTGTGGATGTGGGGGCACCACTCATTTCTTTTCCGTGCAAAGGAGGAAAACAGGATGGTTTGTTAATCTAGAGGGAGAGCTACTTCAGAGGAGTCGGAGGGATGGAACTTGAAGGACTGTTTGCTGGAGAGTGTGAGTGAGGACAGTGGAGTTGGAGAGGACAGAAAGCAGGATGAAGCTAGGGGAGGGAAATAGATTGGGAAAGCAGGGACAGGCGGGAGAGGGGTCTGATCAGCCTTCTAGAAAGCAGGAGGGCGAGGGTCCAGAGCAGACTGCCCATTGTGAGAGGAAGAGTAGTGAGACAAAGGGGAGTGATGGACCACATGCTGGGAATGCAGAGAAGGTGGAGGCCACAGAGGTAGAGAGAGGAGAAAAGAGAAGGAGCTTCTGAGGTATAGGGAGAGTAGGAAAATGTGGACTGGCCATGCAGAAGGGAAACTGTAATCAGTCAGTCCTCTGCAAAGCTGGCCTGCTCTCCCAATGTTCTGGATTCAAGTTCTTACCTTCACCTGCCTGTCCTCTGCTGGGTGTCTAGGTGGTCGTCCTGATCAGTTCTAGTGATGTGGTTTACACATCGTTATCATTGCCTCTTCTGTGGCTTACTTTTGAAAAGTTCACTGATTTATTTTCATAATATGTGTGCGCTTTCGTGAGTTTATATGTAGCGTGTGTGTGCAGGGGTCTCTCAGAACTAGAGTTAGAGGAGGGTAGATATGGGTTCTGGGGATAGAATTTGGGTCCTCTGCAAGATCAGTAAGTACCCTCAGTCCCCTGAGCCATCTCTCTAGCCTCTTACTCAGTTGCTTTTAATAGAACTAGCAAGCAGGCTGGGCATGTAGCTCAGGGGTGGAGTGCTTGCCTTGTGTGTGAAAGGTGCCCTGGGTTGAATACCCAGTGCTTCAAACCATCATGTATGGAACAGTTTCTCTCTTGTGTTCAGGCCTGCCCTTCCCTATAGCATCGAATGTATATGCTGGTTTCTAGGATCATCCTTCCTTTGGTCCCTTTAATATAGCTTCACTGCCTCTTTACATACTTCTAAAATTTACTTTGAAAATTAGTTTTCATGGGAAACAAATATATGCACAAAATTGGATCTGTGTATTTACCATTGAATTTCAGCAATTGCCAATATGTAGCCATTCTGTTCAGGCTCTTACCCTCTGACCATGGATTAATTTGAAGCAGATTCTAGATACATCTTTTTATATGTATACAATATATAACATGATATATAATAACATATAAATAGCAACATATAATACAAATATTGTTATGTATTTTGTATATGACATGTTTTGTTTGTATTTAAAGAAACTTAGCTTTATGTAATCTTTTTGGGAATATAGTTTTTTTGGTGACAGATTTTGCTATGTTGGCTAGACCAGCCTTAAATACTGGTCTTGTTTTCCTCTTACCTCAACCTCAACAGCATGATAACAGCAGCATGCCTCTGCACCCTGCCTGAGAATGTTTTCTTAACAGTGTATTATCAAGATACATTTGTCTTATAGTCATTTATCGTTTTAATATTTATATAATATTCTGTTGTCTAAATATAGTATCCTTCTTATGTGGATGGCCGTTTGGGTTGTTACCCAGCTTTTGTTACTCTGTATGGTGTTCCATACTGCTGCCTAGCAGTTCCTCCTGTGGAACTCCTGGTGTTTCCTCTGTGTGTGTGTGGGGGGAGGGGGGATGTAAACGTGTGAATAGTGAATAGTTATCATTAGGGTATGATGGCAATTTCTTTCTCAAAATATTTACAAAGAAATGGCTTAAGCTATAGATTTTATCATGTTATTCTGATTATTATTAAGATTAATTATGATAGTAGTCTGATTAATAAATCAACTAGACAGCTATTTTTCTCTCCCTCTCTGTTCATACCCAACTGCTACATTCTAGACTGTTAACAGTGAACAAGACAGATTAAATTTGCTATTTGTAGGTTACAACTCAGACTGTTTAACACTCAAGACCCTAGTAACCCAGCGTAGCCCCACTACCTTTTTGTTTATTTTTCTGCTCCCTGTAACTCAATACGATGAAATGTTTATTTTAAAACATCTTAGTTTTTAGTTCTTGTGGTCTTGCAGATATGCCTTTAGGTCCCTCTCTCCACTGTCTCTCCTCTGTTTAGGAATCGTAGGTCTGCCATTCCTGTCCTGAAAACTTGGTTTATGTTTGTGTATATATTGTTGTTATACTTGCTGATTTTTCTCATCTAACAGAAGCCATGCAGCAGGAGCATGTAACTTTGTCCATGGCAGTACCTGAAGTGTAGTGTAGGTGTTTGGTAGATGCTAAACGAATATGAAGAAAGAAAAAGTCAGAGACATATTTTGAATGAATAAATGTTGAAATTTGATGATAGGCTTGGTAGTAAATGACATTGAAAATTCAGATGTGTGCACAAAGCTCTTTGGAGACTGGAAGGACTTCGGTATGTTGGTGGAGAAGTCAGGTGGGCTCTGGAGTATAGCAGTATAACCAGTGTTCAGCTTGTGAGTCAGTCTACACACACCCATACATTATATCTTCCAGGTGCAGAACTTGGCAGTGAGGAACCAGCAGGCCTCAGCTCAAGGACCCCAAATGCCAGGCTCCACTCAGAAGGCCATCCCTCCTGGAGCTTCTCCTGTTTCTGGCCTCTCCCAGGCTTCTAGCCAGGCCCTAGCTGTGGCACAGGCTTCTTCTGGGGCCTCAGGCCAGTCACTCAACCTTAGCCAAGCTGGTGGAGGCAGCGGGAATAGCCTCCCAGGCTCCATGGGTCCAGGTGGAGGTGGCCAGGCCCCTGGGGGCTTGGGTCAGTTGTCTTCTTCAGGATTGGGTGGTGGAAGCTGTCCCAGGAAGGGCACAGGAGTGGTGCAGCCCTTACCTCCAGCTCAGACAGTGACTGTGAGCCAGGGCAGCCAAACGGAGGCAGAAAGTGCAGCAGCCAAGAAGGCAGAAGCAGAAGGGAGTGGCCAGCAGAGTGTGGGCATGAACCTGACTCGGACGGCCACACCTGCCCCCAGCCAGACGCTCATTAGTTCAGGTAAGGTGTCACCTTTTACACCCACCTCCAACTCCACCCTCTCCACACACTTCCTTTTTAAACTCTTGGCCGCGGAATGACAGGAGGAGGAGACTCTTACTGGTCTAGAACATGCTAGCTCAGTGACAGGATAGTAACAAATGACGATCTGACCAGTTTCCTCCGCAGCAAGCTGCTTATAAAGCCTCTGTCTACTTTCCACTCATATTTTTAAATGTTATGGTTTTTTTTTTTCAAGACAGGGTTTCCCTGTAGCTTTGGAGCCTGTTCTGGACCTAGCACTTGTAGACGAGGCTGGTCTTGAACTCACAGAGATCCTCCTGCCTCTGCATCCCGAGTGCCTCCCAAGGTGTGTGCCACCACCACCCAGCTGCCCTCTGTCTACGTTCATAGGGGTCCTGAGTTTTTCAGGTTATTCTATTCATTCCACTGAATTCTAGTGGAGTCAACAAATGTCTTTGGAAGGCGGAGTCCCTGTTCTCACGTCACTTATACTGTAGTATAAAGTATGAGTTCTCTCCTCTTTTTAGTGGGTAGTTCAAGCAACCATAGTGTCAATACCACAGGGTGTGTAAGACCAGCAAGAGGAGCTGTAGCTTACTGTGTGTAGTTGACTTGTGATTATTTGTATCAATGGTAAGGACAAACGGGAATTAGTAATAACAACAACCCTAGTTTGTACTTGCTTTCAAACTGGGTCAAATAGAGCCAATGTCTATACTTGGTCATGTTAGCTTTTGTTTTCTTTGTTTCTACCACCTTTATCAGTGATATATTTGGATAATTTCATCGCAAAAATTACCAATATTAGATATACCTTAGCCTTTCTGTCCCCAACGTGCTTTCAGACATGCCTTGTGTGTTTTGGGCAGTCTAATGATATGCAGTGCAGGACTCTCAGCTCCAGTTTACAGCGGAGGAAACAGTAATCAGAACCTGTGTCTGCTTTCTTATAACTTTGTAGATGGTGACTTTAAAAATGGAGGCTCCTGTAGAGAATACCTTAACCTCAGGGTATTTATTCTTTCTGTGAATATTAAATACTTCTTATGTATCAAACAGTGGAATGAGGTCTAGGGATGTCAAAATGAGTAAAACATGGATTCAGCCTTGAGGTAATGAAGGAGGGGTCAACTTAGCTAAGTACCAAGTGAAAGGATAGGATGGTTATAGCAAAGGAGAAGAACTCACAGAAGATGATTCCTGATTTAAGGGACCTCTCTCCTCTCACTTCTTCCTCCCTCCCTCCCTCCCTCCCTCCCTCCCTCCCTCCCTCCCTCCCTCCCTCCCTCCCTCCCTCCCTCCCTCCCTCCCTCCCTCCCTCCCTCTCTCCCTCCCTCCCTCGTGCGTTTGTGCGCATATGTTATTTGAGGTTGAGTCCAGGCCATAAGCATCCAAGGCAAGTTTCTACCACACTAGTCCCGTCTTTCTTTTTAACTTGTGTTTTTAGAAACCACTCACTAATTTGCTCAGGCAGGCCTTGGACTTGCCTGAGTCTCCTGAGTACTTGAGCGTCTAGGCTGTGCCCTTGAGCTCTCTGTCCTGGAGGTAGTCAGTCCTGTCTAACTCAGTAGAAAGTGCAAATGACATGATGCTCAAGTTCAAGGGAGGCCAGATCTCCTTTCACTGCCTGATTCCCAGATGATGAGATCTGCTTTCATTGATTCCAGCATTGGTACGTCTTAGACAGACGGCTTTGCTTTTAATTTAGAAGGATTATTGTTTTCTGCTCTTGTCTTTGTTTTGCTCTGGCTTGTGTCACACATAGCCACGTACACACAGATCCAGCCCCACTCACTGATTCAGCAGCAGCAGCAGATCCACCTCCAGCAGAAGCAAGTCGTGATCCAGCAGCAGATCGCCATTCACCACCAGCAACAGTTCCCGCACCGCCAGTCCCAGCTGCTGCACACAGCTACACACCTCCAGCTGGCGCAGCAGCAGCAGCAACAGCAGCAGCAGCAGCAAGCAACAACCCTCACTGCCCCTCAGCCACCCCAGGTTCCACCTACTCAGCAGGTCCCACCTTCCCAGTCCCAACAGCAAGCTCAGACCCTGGTGGTCCAACCCATGCTTCAATCTTCACCCCTATCTCTTCCTCCGGACCCAACCCCCAAACCACCCATCCCCATTCAGTCCAAACCACCTGTAGCACCTATCAAACCTCCTCAACTAGGAGCTGCTAAGATGTCAGCTACCCAGCAACCACCACCACATATCCCTGTGCAGGTTGTTGGTACTCGGCAGCCAGGTACAGCCCAGGCACAGGCTTTGGGATTAGCACAGCTGGCAGCTGCTGTACCTACTTCCCGGGGAATGCCAGGGGCAGTCCAGCCTGGCCAGGCACATCTGGCCTCCTCGCCACCTTCATCACAGGCTTCTGGTGCTCTTCAGGAGTGTGCTCCCACCTTGGCCCCTGGAATGACCCTTGCTCCTGTGCAGGGAACAGCACATGTGGTAAAGGGTGGGCCTACAGCCTCCTCCCCTGTCGTGGCCCAAGTCCCTGCTGCTTTCTACATGCAGTCTGTGCACCTGCCGGTGAGTGATGCTTGATCATTTTGAAGATATTACTGCCTATCTACATCCATGTGGGCTTGGGACCGAGTGGAAATAAAACTTGATAGGTGAATGAAGAGTTGAGAAGGCGAATGGTGGCGTGTATGCGCTCTTTTTTAAAAGTGAGATACATATATATATATGTTAAATATGTTTGTATAAACATATGTGTGTATGTAATATCTAAACTTCAAATTCCTAAATTTATTACTAAAATCTTAGGGTTTTATATGTATATTAATTAGATCAAGGGCGCCTTGACCAAGTCCATCTTCGTAAAGCCAACAGTTGTTAGTTGGTCTACAATGAGTCTTTCAATCCCAAGTCAGGACAGTGTTGTTTTCTTGTCCTGGTGCAGAAGTTACACTAATTGGGGATGACCAAGAGGTTTAGTGTATCAAAGGAAGTAAACACATTTGAGCATCTGGGACTAAGAATGGTCTCCAGAAGTATACAACTACAGTTTTCCGTTCACGCCTAGATCTTAGCTACTCTCTTGTTTGTCCATCTTATAGGGTAAGCCCCAGACACTGGCTGTGAAACGCAAAGCTGAGTCTGAGGAGGAGAGAGATGACGGCTCCACATTGGGCGCTCTGCTTCCTGCAAAGGCCTCACCAGCATCAGAGAGCCCAAAGGCAATGGAGGAGAAGAACAGTGTTGGAGGTAAGTAAGCAACTTCTAAAACTTGGTTGGTGCAAGAGAACAGAGAAATGTTCTCAATGAACTAGAAGAGAAATCTGGTTGAGTAGAAAACGGGCCTGAACTTGGTGAGCAGTCAGTAGATAGAGACACATGGGCTCCGTGGTGAATGAGCAAAGATGAGCATGTTGTGGAGGGTCAGGCTGCCTCAGTGGTGGGGAGTTAGTATGGCATATCACAGCTGTTCCTTAATGTCTCTGTGGTTTTTGCTTCTTTTTTTTTTTTTTTTTTTTTTTCCAGAGAAAGCTGAAGCAGTGGCCAGTTTGAGTGCTAATCCTCCAAGCAGTGACTTAGTAGCCTTGGCCCCACCCCCATCAGCACCACCTCCTACTCTGGCCTTGGTGTCCAGACAGATGGGTGACTCAAAACCCCCACAGGCCATTGTGAAGCCACAGATTCTTACGCACATCATTGAAGGCTTTGTGATCCAGGAGGGAGCAGAGCCTTTCCCGGTGAGGGCAGGGCCTGAGAGGAGGACTGGGAGGGGAGAGATCACCTTATTTATCAATTTACATTCAGATTCCTCCAAAGCAGCGAGTGCAGAACTATTTAGTCACTAGTGCGTCATTATGCTGCTAACTTCCTTACAGAAGAGGGAAGGAATGCAGGGGAATTTGGGGACCAGAAAGTGGAAATGCTGGGCACAGAAGACAGGAAGCTTGCTCTTAAAGCTCTAATGTTCAGTTAAGTACACTAGGCGGCTTAGATGGAAAAAGCCAGTCATAGAGCCTTGTTTGCCCTATGGAAAGACCCGGGACTGGAGAGGAGATCCCTCAGCAGTCAGTGTATGTTGCAGAGGACCCGAGTTGCCTTCCCAGCACTCATGTCACAAAGCTGACAGCCACTTATACTAATTCCAGCTCTAAAGTATCCAATTTTGGTTTCCGGGTGTGTACACGCTCTCACACACACATATGCACACCTGGCTGGGTGTGGTGGCTCACGCTTTTGAGTCCTTAGGTGGCAGAAGAGCCTGCAGATCTCTTGAGTTCAAGGTCAGCCTGGTCTACTAGCAACTTCTAGGAAAGCCAGGGCTATACAGTAAGACTCTGCCTTAACCCCCCTCCCCCAAGAAATATCTTAAGGAAAAGATCCCCTGTGAGCCAGATTTGGCTTTCACCTCAGAACTCATCCAGGCAGGGACATGGGAAATGTCATGGAAGGCTGTAGAAGGGCAAGAAGGAACTAGGCTACCTTAACTGGTCTTTCTCTGGGACAGGTGGGATGTTCTCAGTTACTGAAGGAGTCTGAGAAGCCCCTGCAGGCTGGCCTTCCAACAGGGCTGAGTGAGAGTCAGTCAAGTGGCCCTTTGGGAGGAGACAGCCCTTCTGTAGGTATGTATTGGGTGCTCCTGGAGATGGTCGATGGGGATTGGGATTGAACCCATTTCTAGCACATACTATGCACGAGTTCTACTAATGAGCTACATCCTATCACCAGGTAGCCCAGGCTGACCTTTAACTTCAGATCCTCCTGAGTCTGGGGATTGCAGACTTGGGTCACACCTCCCCAGTCCTTGCGTATTTAATAAAGTAGGACTGTAGATAAAGTCTGTCTCGCCCAGACGTGCGTGAAGCCATATATAAAGCACTGAAAAAGATTTTGCCTATGCTTTTGTAAATCTTTGTGGAAAAAGGGTGTTGTGTCTTTCTCTATATTCGTCAGTTCCTCCTCCGTATTCAGAACAGAATCCTATTTGAAATCTGAGTTGAACTAGAATACAATGAGTAAGATAGCTAACATGGAAACAATCTTAGACGTGAAGATCTCCGTCTCTCCAGAGTCTTGCCTTGCACCTAGGTAGGTCTCTGACTTGCTGTAGATGTAGCCCAGGCTGACATTCACCTTCCTGCCTGCTTTCTGTGTGCTGAGATTAGAGGCCTGTATTCTTATGAGTACATTGAGGGACAAGGCTTTAGGGTGTTTTGTTTTAGGGATTCTCAGTTAGGTTGTGTAGGTCTTTGCAGAAAACCTGAGGAAAATTAGTATCCAGCTCCGAGCCTAATGATTGTGGGCAGCAGAGACTACAGTAACTCACGAACGCCTTGTTTTTCAGAGTTAGATAAGAAAGCAAATCTCCTAAAGTGCGAGTACTGTGGGAAGTACGCCCCGGCAGAGCAGTTCCGCGGTTCTAAGAGGTTTTGCTCCATGACATGTGCAAAGAGGTAGGCTGGGCACCAGCTGACCCTCATTGGCTTTCCCATCGGACGTTCTGTCCCTTCCCTCTGCTTTCAGTCTGTTCCCCAAGCCAACTCTTAAATACCAGTTCATATTTATGAAAGGGCAGTGTGTTGTTTCCATAGCACCATGACGTCTTATCTGTACCCCGACCTGTAGGTACAATGTGAGCTGTAGCCACCAGTTTCGCTTGAAGAGGAAAAAAATGAAAGAGTTTCAGGAAGCCAGCTATGCCCGTGTTCGGAGACGTGGACCCCGCCGCAGCTCTTCTGACATTGCTCGTGCCAAGATCCAGGGCAAGCGCCATCGGGTGAGCTGCTGTCACAGAGCCAGCTAGTTTGTAGAATGTGTCCCACCCCCACTCCCGTTCCTTTGTTTAATTTAGGTAAAAGCACTGGATACAGAACTCTAGTTTAACACTGACTGTATTGATGTATTGATCCATATTGTAAGAGACTGTCCCATCTCCTTTCATCTGACTGCAAGTTCATACATCCATGAAATGAATCCTTCACTGTACTGGAGATAATTCGGGAACAAATTTGGTTAAAGAAATGATATATTTGAATGATGCGTCTGCAAATGAAGTACAGCTTTAGTTCACCTGTTAAGACACAGTTCTGTCTAGTGCAGGGTAACAGGAAGGGAAGGAACTCAATGATACTGTTCTTACCTGGCTGCACGTTTTGCTATCTCTTATAAAGGGTCAAGAGGACTCTAGCCGGGGTTCAGATAATTCCAGTTATGATGAAGCACTCTCCCCAACATCTCCTGGTCCATTGTCAGTAAGACCTGGACATGGAGAACGTGACCTAGGAAACACCATTACAGCTCCACCCACACCAGAGTTACATGGCATCAACCCCGTGTTCCTGTCCAGCAATCCCAGCCGATGGAGTGTAGAGGAGGTCTACGAGTTCATCGCTTCTCTGCAAGGTACCGGGAGCCTCTTGGGCAGAACTAGGCCCACAGTTCCCCTACATCATCCCGCAAAGGCACCTGATGGACCTGTCAGCAGCTGGCTTTGTGTCTGTCCGACAGCAGAGGCTCTTTGCTAGATATTCTGGCTGTTTTCTACAGTGTACTTTACTAATTCTCTTCCAGGCCAATGCCATTAACTATAGTGTCTACATTTTTTTTTTTTAACTTTTGAATTAACTATTTCTCGCTTGGGTGGTTTTTTTTTTTTTGATAAAAATCTCTTTGTTGGATGTGAGTGAGCATACATGACTTTTTCAGTGGAGTACATGAGAAAAGGCCTTTGTTTGCCTCCATTAAACATCATTGCTGTCTTTGGTTATCTGTCTGAATTATAGGTCCTTAAAGGGTAATGTTGCAAAAGCTGTTCATCTTTTTGCCATTGTTAAGAAACCATGTGTGTAGCTTTTTTCTTTTTTTCTGTTTTTTTAAGATAAGCTTTCTCTGTGTAGCCCTCACTGTTCTGTAACTTGCTTGTAGATCAGACTGGCCTCAAACTCAGAGACACACCTGTCTCTGTCTCCCCAGTGCTGGGATTAAAGGCGTACGCCACCACGGCCGGGCTAGTGTCTAGTTTTTCTTTAAAGGGGTTAGGAAACTATTTGTGAACAACTTTTTGCTTTTTTGAAGCTGTATGGAGTCGTCAGCAGCTCTATTTCACCTGCTTTCAAAGCTTGCCTCAGATCTTTCTGTTACTGAATCTATGGTACTTTGGGATTAGCCATCACCAGGCCTGTTTATCTTTAGTTTCTTCCCTTCTGATGCTACCATGCAGTTTCTCATGTGTTCCATCTTTTCCTTTTAGGCTGTCAGGAGATCGCAGAAGAGTTTCGTTCCCAGGAGATTGATGGACAGGCCCTTTTATTACTTAAAGAAGAACACCTTATGAGTGCCATGAACATCAAATTAGGTCCTGCCCTCAAAATCTGTGCCAAGATCAATGTCCTCAAGGAGACCTAATGTGGCCGTCTGCACAAATCAGCCTAAAGCAAATGCCCCAAGCATTCAGGCTATAACCTGGGGCCAGCAGACTTTGCAGGGAAGAGCGAGCTGTTCCTCTTACGTGACCCCAGGTGGAGTATGGAGACAGACTTCTGCAAGCGTTGGTTGCTGGTGCTACATAGTGGCAGCTTTGCCACTTCTCTCTGGGTTTCACCTTAAAACACACACAACCCATTCTCACTATTCACACCTACCCTAATCCAGTTTTCAAGCAGGCAGACTAGAGACTAGGACTACTCAACCTTATCCTGGAGAGGAGTGACTAGCCAGGGTCTCACTTCTCAAGAGGAAGAATGTCTTGAATGGTAAGGCATGGAAATGGGTGAGATGTAGGTTTGCTTCCCCACTGGGAGAGGGCAGTTTTCCTAGCTTGTGTGACACAAGTAGCAAAACCTGGTACTCTCCGTCTCTCAACTGTCTCATTGTGACTGTAGCTCAGTTTCTGTTATCATTTTCTCCCTTAGTACTGACTGTTTCCTCCTGCATCCATGGCAGGGTCACCAGCCAGTGTACACTTGGTTGGTATCTGATTTGCTGCAGGGACTAAAGGTATTGGACTGACACGTGTGGCTGTCGTCATTCTTTCTGCATCCCCGCTCCCTTCTCATTTGTTATCATCTTCACCCCTTTTTCTATTCCACCTCTGCTCTTTCCTATAGCTTTACAGAACAGGAGTGTGTGGGGCTAAGGTCAGGATTGTAAGCACCTGCCTTAGGCACTATTATTCCTTATACAAAATATTAAATATTTTTTTCTTCCTCAGTAAAAGGCTGAAAATTGGTCTCCATTGTTACTTCATTCCATTGTTTATTCTCCTTAACACAAATGACAAAGCCAGCATGTTTTGTATGTTTTTTAATTATTATGTTTTTATACAAAAAGTGGTGTATTATTTTTCATTTAAAACACCAGGAAAGGATGCAAACAACAAATGAGATGCCTTTTTAAAAAATAACATTAATTTTCTTATATAGAAAGAAAACAAAACGCCCACTACCATTGCAAGGGTACTGAGAAGTTAGAGTGTATCATTTCCTTCTCTAAGGTAACAGGTAGCCCTGCCTTTCCACATCTCCTGTCTTCAGATGAGCTGAGCTGTTACTTAGTAGCCTAGGTGTTCACTATGTGATTCTGGGCACATGGCCTAAACAGAAGTGGGAGAGGATTAAAAACTTTTTCTCATAGGTACATGGGTAAGACACTTCCCTGAGCCAGCAGGAGGGACAGGGGCAGCAGTGTTCCCTACCCAGAGCAGAGAACTGCAGAACCCTCCATGTCCACGTCTGCTTCCATTCCCTTTTTTTTAAGATTGGGAAAAATGTAAAAAGCCAAACTACAGACCAGTGAGAAAAGTGCAATACAAGTTTGGAAGTACTAGTGGAGAGGGATGAGCAAGAAACGGAAAAAAGGCAAAGCAATCCCACCACAAGGGGACACAGGTTCTAGGGCTTCTATAGCATAGGTCTATTTCCTTTAGGATAGGACTGCCTGATTACGTACTTGGGCTACATATGGATTTCTAACCACAACCAGAGCCCAATTGTAGCCATCCAGCCACAGAAAGACCAGAACAATGTGACGGCACCTTAGAAGCCAGTAGTGGGGAAATTTCACATTTCTTTCATGTCCTAATCCCACACAAGGGACATTTTAGTGACTCGCTGCAGGCTCAAAGCAAGTGGCAGTATTTGGGCTACAGCCAGGTAAGCACTGCAGAGCAGCTCTACACAGTCCATCATGGAGACTGCTATGGGGGTAGCAACAACAGGAAGACGGCAGAGCTACAAGCAGTCTTTTTTAAAGAAATCCAGTGTCTCAACTTGTGAAAATGTTTAGACAGACAGGGCTCGTGGCTCCCTGCCCATTTAGCTGTCTTTGCTCTTCCTGGCGGCACAAGAGTAAACCCAAAGACCCTATGTACTTGTGCAGAAGAGAAACAACAGGAGCAGAGGGAGGCAGTTTAGGGTCAAATCAAAAGCCCACTGGAAAGCAAGAATTTTAATGGCAAGGCGAGAGATGCGAAGAGACGGCTTGAGAAATCTGGCTGTGTATGCTTTGGTTTGGGGACTGAAGAGGTGGCTGGACATTAAAAGTGCAATCACATTGGTAGCAAATGATCATCCCTTTCTTCCGACTCTTCCCCCAGCTGGTCATCCCCAACTCCACGATAGGCAGCAGGCACGTTGCGGGGTTTGGAGCGGCACACAAAGTCACAACCATCCTGCAGGGAAAAGCAAAGGAAAGAATATCTGTTTTAGAGTGCGATCACATGGTCTCAGACTGTGACAACTGGTTTTCTCCACGGACCACAAAGGGAACATCCCAATGTGAGGCTTAGCCCAAATGAACTGCTACTTACAGCTACGAGGTTGCCAAGGTCCTGCCAGAAGGCCAAATGGGGAAACTGCTCCATTCCCTTGGCTCCCACCACCAGTCGCTGGTATAAGAAACCCCCCATGATGTAGACGGCAACCAGGGATGCAAATCTGGAGAGGAAAGGACATCACTTAAAATGTTATCAGCTCTGAAGGGGCATTACCTTCCTACAGTAGCTACTCAGAAGGCCAAGGCTGACCTTCATATTCAATATTAGTTGTTCCCTAAACTGAAAACAAAAAAGGGCTGGTATTCCTTAGAAGACCTGCTAGGACACTGCCAATCTGACAAAAATAAACACCCAAGGGGGAAAAAGACTTGGTATATGATTCTAATAGCCAGGAATCACCATTAACCAGGATTCTGTTTCTTCAAAGTTCTACTGATGTAATTAATAGGACAATACTGAAAACTGTTCAGCCTTCCTGGGAAAAACATAAGCTAGGAATGGTGGTGCACACCTTTAATCCCAGCACATGGGGAGGCAGGAACAGCAATTCTCTTGAGTTTGAGGCCAGCCTCAGCAACATAGTGACTGTCTTCAAAAAAAGTTTGTTTTTTGTTTTTCCTGTTTTGCCACTGCCAGGAACTGAATATAGGATACCTCATGCACACTAACCAAGCACCATGCCACCAAGTTACATCCCCAGCCTAGTTTCTTTCAACTTGAATGGTCAGCTATTTTATAGTCAGCCCCCTCTGATTCTGTGTATGTAAACACACATGTACTGAAGAGGTAAAAAGTACTCACATGACCAGTAAGATAGAGCCCACACTGAGGTGGGAGGCCTCTGGTGAACAGGCTACGCTGCTGTCCATCTCAAAGAGGTACAAGCAATCTTGGACTTTGTTCCGCTCCTCTGACACTGGGTTAAAATTGCCCTGATGATAAGTGGACCAAACAGTAACTATGTATACGATATTTTCTTTCAACTTGCATCCGACAAACAAGAATACCCCTCAAATAAGCAAACTCCAAACATTTGCTGCTCCTGGCTAAGTAGCCCATGCTCCATGTATGGTGTGAATCTGGCACACTAAAAATTTCAATTAGTTTTCTCCCGTCCACTCCACACAGACTGTCTTCCTGTTAGCCCCCCACCCCTACCCCATCACGGCCACTCCACACAGACTGTCTTCTTGTTGATGCCCCTTCCCCGCTGTCACATCTTTCAATCTGCTGTACCCAGTTCACCTCACCGCTAGTGTGTGTCGATTGCAGGAGATCATCACCACTGCACGACGCTGCTCTTTGCCACAGTGGTTGTCATATTCGTCACCCCCTTTATAGATGAGCATGATCCAATTACCTGAGGAAGGACAACAACAGTGGCACTGTGGAGTGCAGGGGAAACAGAGGCAACAGAGGGTCGAATGGGAGAGTGGAATTAGCCACCAAAACTGACTCTAATTAATGCTAATTGCTATAATCTATCCATATGAATGAGAAGCTAAAACTTCTTATTATTTTGTAAAAGACAAGAGTTTCGCTATGTAGCTTTGGCTGGCCTTAACTCACTAATTATCCAGGCCTGGCTGGCCTCAGCTTGTCATCTTCCTACCTCTGCCTCCCACGTTTTGGGGTTACAGGCATGAGCCACAATGCCTGGCCTTAAAATGTGTTTCTCAACAAAACTCTGTTTCCTTGTGTTAGACAGTAAGAACTAGTTATTTAAGATTAATCTTACTTTCTACATTAAAGATAGGCAACATTAAAAATAGTTTTTATCTGTGCTTTTATTGACTAATGACCATTTTCTCAACATGTAGCAAAAGGAGAGGAGGTTCTATATGATTGCTAGGCATCAGAAGTCCAAGACAACACAGATAAACTCAAAGCGGATGTTTACTGAGTTGGGAATACATTTCTCTCAGTATTCACTACTTTTAAAGTTCTCTGCAAAATACTGTTCAACCATTATCCATGTGAAGTGAGTAAGTAAGGATGCTTTTAACTGTGCATATGAGAAGATTTTAAAATCAGTGAGCGGGTGCCTCAAAATCATCTGTGGTGATCTGAGTGAGTAGGAATCGAGAGGCTCACAGATTTGAAATCTTAGTCACCAAGGAGTGGAACTGTTTGAAAGGATTCTAAGGATTAGGAGGTATGGCCTTGCTGGAGGAGATGTGTCACTGGGCTTTGAGGTTTTAAAAGCCCATGTCAGGCCCAGAGTCTCTCTTGTTACCTATGGATCAGGATGGAGAATGCTCAGCTACTTCTCCAGCACCATGTCTGCCTGTATGCCGCCATGCTCCCCTCTTTGGTGACAGTGGACTAGCCTCCAATCAAATGCTTCCTTTTATGACACTTGCCTTGGTCACAGCATCTCTTCACAGCGCTAGAACAGTGACTAAGACACCATCATACTAGGAAAATGATGATTTGAGTAAAGAATTCACTCATGTGTTTTATTTTGTTCTTTATGTAATGAGTATCTAACTAGATAATTTATCTGCTTATGGGAAGAAACCATAAGGGTCACAAGTGCTCCCTTCCAGTGTACACTTTCATGACATTTGGAAAACACAACTATGTTAGTACAAAAAGGTGGTGAATTTTTTTTTCCTTAAATACTCACTGGTTTGCACAAAAAAGGTATTTTAAAATTCAACTGGCAAATTTGGTTAATTTGATGAGACATGGTGGTGGCTGGTGTGGAACTCATGACATATTTGGGTGCCTAGAAGGACTGCAAGCTGTGTGAAATCCTGGCTGGATTCACACCCATCGTCACTCTCGCTCCTTCAGTCTCTCCTTCTACCCACCCCTTCCTTCCACCTCTCTTCCTGTGCTACTCAGGATCAAAGCCAGAACTCTGTGCATGAGGGTGAATGTTTTACCCGAACTGTTCCCAATCCTCTATTCTTTTTGTTAAAGTTTTGCACTGTCTTCAGACACAGAGGTGTCCTGAGCTGTGGTTCCAGAGCAGCCGTGGAACTAGGCACTGTGAGGTGAAGTCTCAGGTAGTCCAAACTCCATATAACATGACTTACTCAAAAAGAAGGGAGGGCCAACACATACAGGATTGTTAGAGACTGTGGGATTAGTCAGCAGGAAATAGCTTACTTCCATTGAAGAGGTGAGTCTCGTTGATCCTCCCAACCACCGTCTCCTTCCAGGTATTTTTGTTGATCTGCACCAGGCCTGCCCCAGAGGAGTGGTTGCCAGCTTCCCGGCATATTCTGAATTTGTAGATGTATAAGTCCGAGCCCTGGCCCACAGTGCTCTCAAAACTTCAGAAGACAGACAGGAAGAGAAAGAACAATATCACTAGTTACCAAGCTCAGAAAAAAAACAGACCCCTCCCTTTGATGACAACCAATGTGCTAGATGCACACTTGTTGCTTATGAGGTATTTATCGCTTCAGAGACTGTCCTGCTTGTTGATAATAGAAAGCTAGATATACCACCCCAAACAGCTATTCATTCTAGAACACCTATTCTAGTTATGCAAGTGTTGGCTGTTTCCCTACAGCAAGGGACAGTCCCATGTTTAAGAATCATTTTTTATGTATACAGTGTTCTGTCTGCAATATGCCTGCAGGCCAGAAGAGGGCATCAGACCTCATTACAGATGGTTGTGAGCCACCATGTGGTTGCTGGGAATTGAACTCAGGACCTCAGGAGGAACAACCAGTGCTCTTAACCTCTGAGCCATCTCTCCAGCCCTTAAGGATTATTTTTATACTTGAAAATGCCCTGACAGTGATGAAGACATACTTAGACATGCATATTTTTAAACGTGTCTGTTTGATGTTTCTGAAGTCTTAGTATATGAAGCTATCAAGTTATGTTCTGATTTCTACAAGCTTGTGCTTTAGACCCAGTCATTAGAAACAGGTAACTTTTCTGTGAGGACAAGAAAAACACACACGATCACATGGCTGTGAACTTGGTGTGTCAGTAAGAGGGCAATGTGTTACATCCAAATAAAACTAATACTTCCAGAACTCAGATTAGAGACCATATCATTCACGCACTCCTTCCACAGTAAAGCTGAAGAAAAGTCAGTGAAAGGAAAAGACCCTTAATAAAGATAATTTCTTAAACCCTGTCAGGGTCTTCGCATCTACCTTTTGTTGAACAGTGGCCGTAGCCTCTCCAGGAGAGCCTGCTCTTGCTTCGACTCCTTCTCATTGTCTCCTACCAGGTCACAAGACTTTTCTTCTGTCTGCCAGGATTCTTTCACAGCCAGAGCCAGGACCAGCAACAGTAACAGTTCAGTCCTCCAGCAGCCAGAGAAGGGGAACATCCTTTTGGAAGAGTGTGTTGAGGGTGAAGGAAGGATCAGGAAAGGAAACAGATCAATCACATGACTGCAAAAATTAATGGCATTCTGATTATGCAAACAAAAAGCATGAATCTGCTTCCAAACGAACTATGCCCAGTGTAGTGGCAAATGTCTTTAGTCTCAGCCCTCAGGGGCAGAGGCATGTGGATCTCTGTTTGAGATCAGCAAGAGATACTTGGTGACTCTGTCTCAAAGACCTCCAGAAAACAAAAGCTCAATAAAACAAAGCAAACTATGAGGGTAAGAAGACGAAAATAATGAATTATGTTAGCTTGGGTGCATCCGTCTTTGCTTTGTTACTGTTTGATGAAATTTACACTGTACTAGTCCATCATCCAAAGTGAACTACTAGTTTACAAATAAAGCTGAAGTCAGTGGTGGCCTGCCTTAAAACAGTCCAGTCATGACGTGAACAGACCCTCCAGTATGTCTAGCTTGAGGGTATTAGAAGTGAAGTAGAGGAAGGAACTTGGATGTGCTGGACTGAATATGCTAAGATCATTCCAGGAGCACCTAGCAGTCTTTCTTCACTCACTGGAAGCTTGTGGGATGGCAGGGAGGCAGCCACAGCACCTCAACTCACCTCAATTACTCACACACCACTTCTCTGGAAAACCACCCAGTCATAGAAGAAAACTCATTCGGTCAAAACAAGGGATTAGAAGTTTTCCAAAACCTGCTCCAGCCTCTCCAAGTCACAAATCTCAAGGGCTTCTTCTAGACTTTCCATGAGATGGCTATCTTCTACACTGCTGCATTCACCTCCTGTTTGTATGATTCTAACAGGCCTATCTACAGCCCACGTGAGACACCCCCCGAGGCTATCTGTGAATGCAGCCCAACATATCTGTGGATGACAATGTCATATTTCAACGTTGAAAAGTTGGATATCCCTTACCATCTTTGTAGTTAAGCCATAGTGAAAGTTTCACTCGAATCTATTAGGAATGCTTCAGGCCATTGACATTGTTCATTTTTAAGTTTCCATGTTTTTCTCTGAGACATTTAACTCTTCCAGACTTTCCCTATGACAAGAAAATGGCAGCTCTGGCCTTGTGATCTAACTGCATTTCCCTTTCTCCCTGAAACTTAATCTGAGTCTTTATTTCCCACGTGCAAGGAAAGCAACAGATGCTTGGGACCTATTTACCTGACTTCACATACCCCAAACATCAATCCACTACAGAAATACAAACAAGGCATTTCCACACAACAATCACTGGTAGCCAAGAGGTCAAAGGCTCTCCTAAGACATCTCAAATGCTAAACAACAGGACCCCTTGATAGAGCGATAGCCTTCAGCCAGGCACTACTTGAAATACTTAACATGCATTACTCAACCTTCCCCAAACCTTCTTATGTAGTAAATTTTATCATCTCTTCAAAAGGCAAACGACAAACAAAACAAACACCAGCGACACAGCTGGTGGAGGAAGAGCTCAAGGTCTGCGTGCCACCGTATTACAGAGCTTCCATCCTAATTCTCTGGGATGGCAGGAGAAGCCAAAGCAGAGCTGCCTTGTTTTGCTTTTAGACAAGGCAGGAAAGGGAAGCAACTGCTCAGTTAACTGGACTGTACAAAGAACTCATACTTAAGCCCTGGCCTTCCCGAAGCTCATCTATTGCTCAATACATAGCTCAATCAGTCAAATCGCTGAGTGGTTCTTTTGTTAACCGACTCTGTACCATTTTCCTCAAGTTTTCTCAGGACCCAGTTGAAATGCTAACATTCTGTGCTCTGATGCCCCCCCCTCCCCAGAATATTTTGGAGGGATGCTCTCCCAGGACAAACGCTTTGCACTCTGGCCTAAAAGTTAGTTCCTCATTAGTTAACTGTTGCTGCTGCTTTCTCTTCCCAAATGAGGGCAAAACATGTCACAAAACTGAGAAGGGATGAAGAACGCCAACAAGCTGTGGTAGGCATTAGATGAGCTTAAGATTCGTCTGTAAGCAGGGCAGCAGCTGGCGCTCTCCTTTAATCCCAGCCCTTGGGAGGCAGAAGCAGGTGGATCTCTGAGTTCAAGGCCAACCTGGTCTAAAGCCCCAGGAAAGCCAGGGCTACACAGAGAAACTCTGTCTTGAAAAACCGAGAGAAAGATCTGACTGTAAGTTTGAGCTGCTTCTCTTTGGTTCAGTGTGGTGTATACACAGATGCTTAACCCGTTTAGTTAAGCCAGAACTTATCAGTTCCGCCTCTTGGAAAAGTAAGATAAGGGGACCGAGGCTTACGGCTGCCTACTGAGCTGAGTGCAAACAAAGTTAAAAGAGTGAAGTTACTAGAGCAACCTGGATGGCGAATGGCATGAAGGCATTCGTTAGCAAACTTCTGGTAAACTCGGGCACAAGTAGAGAACAGTATGCAATTGAGGCTGCGCAGTCTCTTTTTAATATGGTACAAATAGACTTTCAAAGGGCAGGCATTTTTCGGTGTGTGACACGGGATCTCATGACCTTGAAGAATCTTGAATTTCCTTATTCTATAGAGACAGCTCTATTGGCGACGCTGGAACGGTCTCCTTTACAGGCCGGCCAGTGACTAAGTTAGGGACTGGGAAACTGCTGACACCACTTATCCTCGCTCTTTCCCACTTATGGCCATTTTCCATTTTCTAATGGAAGCTTTACTTTCTTCCTCCTGGTTCACGGCAGCCAACCCTTTTAAGAGCAGTCTGAACTGGCAGAAAAAGCCCCATGCTCAAAGAGCCTCAAGGAAGTGGTTCTATGCTTCAAACTCCCTACAAGAACACAGGTAACCCCTGTTACTCTTTTCCACGCCAAGCTAACACACGTTCCTCGAACTTCTTCCAGGATCCTGGAAATCCTCGCTTTCCATTTGCTTCAAGCCCACACCTGACCCCAAACGACGCCACTTTTCTTCCAGGATCCAGGTCAAAATCCTTTCAACAAGCATCCAGGAACACTTCGCACATCTCCACACTTGGCACTTAAGTTTTCCCCACCTTCAAAACATCTTAAATTCCTTTTTGATCTTGGACGTCCTCCCCCTCACTCCTGGTAGCCTGAGGCTCTCCGTGCTCACACCTTTCGCCTCCACTCGTCCCTACGGCTCCCTAGCAGGCTCTTCGGCTGGAACCACCGCCAAGCGACACTCCAGGACTGCATCTCCTGTGGCGCAGGGGTGTGCAAGGACCCCAGCCCGCCTCCTCCTCCACGCCCCCCACACTCACGTGTCACGGTAAACACAGCAGCCGAAGCTAAGGAGCCCCCAAGAATGTGGCCCTGGGGCTGGGAGACGCGGCCGGAGAGCGGCGGGCCGCAGACCCCGGTCCTCGGTTCCCGTCTGAGGCCAGTGCTTCCCAAAGCGCCGCTCTGCGCTCTGCTCCAGAAACCGGAAACAGGAAGCGGCGAGAGGCTGCTGAGCAACTGCTCCTCCCACTAGACCCCCCGCGGCATGTGACCGCAGCACCATCGCGCCCGGGTCCTGCCCCTGGACGCTGATTGGTCGGCAGCCTAGTTCGCTACGTCCCCCGTCCCATCAACGCCCATTCACTCCGAGATTGTCAAGATCAGCTTCTTCTTTTCGGGTCGCCTTTCTACCAATGAGGCTCGAGCCCCGCCTCCAGGGACTCCGGGCTGGGACTCCCGACTCACGCGGGGGTCACGTGCCAGGTGTCCGGCTAGGTCGGCTTGAAGACGGGACCAGAGGGCGGCCGGCGGAAGCCGGGTGTCGCTCCCTGGGCTCGCTGGGAGTTGTAGTTTCTGCTCCCGAGCCTCTCCGGGAATTGTTCTTAGGGCTCTTCTGCTACCGTGGTGGCCTCTGTGCGGCGCTGCTCAGCCACCCGCCAGCTGGGATCTCTCCTGGTCTAAACTTAGTTGACTCAGCCGCTAGGACAGCGGAACGTCAGGATTCTGCGTGCTCTCGTTTTCCTAACACCTTTGTTCAGAATTTTCTAACTCACTGGGGACATACTGTTATTACTGTTACCTCTGCAATGACTTGTCCTCTGGCATCTTGCTAAATAAGCATACTCTGCTCATCCAAGGTGTCTGCCCTATGTGTGCGGGTCCTCTAGCCAGCATTTTGTTTCCCGGGGGTCTTTGTGCCTTTGGTAAGGTCCTTTGAAGACTCCTTGGGTTTATTAGCCACTCTCTGAAGTGCTATTTGTTCTTACTCGGTTTGAAACTTAATTGGTACGGCTTCCTGGATTCACTCTCCAAGTTCCTAATTTCTTCCTCTGACGGTTCTTTTGGCTTTAGCTTGTCGTGCCCTTCTGATTCTTACATGCTTTAAAAAAAAATTATTTATTTATTACGTATACAATACTCTGTCTTGTGCGTATGTCTGCAGGCCAGAAGAGGGCACCAGACCTCATTACAGATGGTTGTGAGCCACCATGTGGTTGCCCGGAATTGAACTCAGAACCTTTGAAAGAGCAGGCAATGCTCTTAACCACTGAGCCATCTCTCCAGCCCCTCTTACATGCTTTTGTGTGCACTTCTCTCACTCTGCTTCAATAGGGATTTATGTTAGAGGCAGTATTATGTTTGAAACTGCTAGCGCTGAAGTGTCCCACACTATTTTTAAAAGTTAACATAAAAATTTTAATAAGTTTTAATTAAAATACAATTACTTCCCTTTCCTTCTTTCTTTTCCTTCCTCCAGTTCCCCCAAAACCCCTCCACCTAGATCTTTCCATGCCCCCCTCAATTTGATAGCGTCTTAAAAAATTATTATTGTTACATATTCATGCATAAATATATTCCAGTCTGCGGAGTCTCACCTGTAAGGAAGACTTACTGTACCTTTATGGATTTCTGCCTGTGCTGTTTATTGTTCTGATTTATAGGTGTCACAGTTGGGTAGGATTAGAATTGCCTCCTCCCCGTGGCTGCTTGTATAGTTAATATTTTCTGGTACCATGGAAGCTAGACTGCAAGAAGGAGGCTTCGATCCAGCTCAAATAGCAAGACTCCCAAATCCTATGTGTGCAGTGTCTTCAGCAATAGGGGTCTATCTTCAACCTCTGAGAGGCAACCAAGGGCAACAGACACAGTTTGTATTGTTTTGGGAGTGACTTGGATGACCCTGACTAACTGTTGTTCAAGAGATTTCTCATGGCTTGTACTAGGAGTTTTGTTAGTCTACGGTTCTTTATGATGATGATTATTATAAAGCACTATGTCTTCTTTACTTTTGTTTTTTTTAAGAGAAAACAAACTATATTTTTTTTTCATACCAATCCAAGTTCCCTCCTCCCAGTTCTTTCACCCCCCCCCCATATGCCCCAGAGACAGCAAGGCACATTGTTTGCTCCAAAGAAGGACCAAGGCCCTCTGCACAATATCCAGAATGAGTAAAATATCCATCCAAAGAGAATGGGTTAAAAAAAAACCAGTTCAAGCAGCAGGGACAAATCCTCGGGCCACTGCCTGTCGCCCCACAGTCTGCCACAGCCATACAACTGTCATCCACATTCAGAGAGTCTAGCTTAGTTCTATGCTGGTTCCGTCCCTATCTGGCTGGAGTTGGTGAGCTCCCATTAGCTCAGGTAAGCTGTTGCAGTGGGTGTCTTCATCATGGTCTTGACCTCTTTGCTTATATTCTCACTTCTTCCATTTTTCAACTGGACTTTGGGAGCTTGGCCCAGTGCTCCACTGCAAGTCTTTGCCCCTGTCTCCATCAGTTGCTGGATGAAGGTTCTATGATGACATTTAAGATATTCATCAGTCTGTCTACAGGGCAAGGCCAGTTTGGGCCCCCTCTCCACTATTGCTTAGGGTCTTAGCTGGGGTCATCCTTGTGGATGGCTGAGAATTTCTCTAGTGCCAGGTTTCTTGCTGGCCCCATAATGGCTCCCTCAATCAAAACATCTCTTTCCTTGCTCTCTATCTCTATCCTCCCATCTTGACTATTCCATTCTCCTCCTTCTCCTCGTCTCCCCTCCTCTTCCCCTTCTGACCTCCCCCCCCCCACTGCCATGCTTCTAATTTTCTCAGGAGATTTTGTCTATTTCCCCTTCCTAAAGTGATTTATATATGTTTTTCTTAGGGTTCACCTTATTACTTAGCTTCTCTAGGATAATGAACTATAGGCTCCTTATCCTTTGCTTTACAGCTAGTATACATTTATGAGTGAGTACATACCATGTTCATCTTTCTAGGTCTTGGTTACCTCACTCAGGATGTTTTTTTTTCTAGTTCTATCCATCTGCATGCAAATTTCAAGATGTCATTTTTTTTTTTACCTCTGAGTAGTACTCCATTGTATAAATGTACTGCATTTTCTTTATCCACTCTTTAGTTGAGGGGCATCTAGGTTGTTTCCAGTTCTTACTATTACAAATAATGCTGCTATGAACATAGTTAAATAAATGTCCTTGTAGTATGATTGAGCATCTTTGTGTATATGCCCAAGAGTGATATTGCTGGGTCCTGAGGTAGGCTGATTCCCAATTTTCTGAGATACTGCCATACTGATTTCCAGAATGGTTGTACAAGTTTGCATTCCCACCAACAATGGAAGAGTGTTCCCCTTACTCCACATCCTCTCCAGCATTGGTGTTTTTGATATCAATTATTCTGACTGGTATAAGATGGTATTTCAAAGTTGTTTTGATTTGCATTTCCATGATGGCTAAGGATGTTGAACATTTCCTTAAGTGTCTTTTGGCCATTTGAGATTCTTCTGTTGAGAATTCTCTGTTTAGATCTGTACCCCATTTTAAAAATTGGATTATCTGGAATTTTGATGTCTAATTTTTTGAGTTCGTTATATGTTTTGAAGATCTGTTCTCTGTCTGATGTAGGGTTGGTGAAGATCTTTTCCCATTCAGTAGGCTGCCTTTTTGTCTTATTGACTGTGTCCTTTGCTTTACAGAAGCTTCTCAGTTTCAGGAGTTCCCATTTATTTATTGTTGCTCTTAGTGTCTGTACCACTGGGGTTATATTTGGGAAGTGGTCTCCTGTGCCCATGCATTGAAGGTTACTTCCCACTTTCTCTTCTATCAGGTTCAGTGTGGCTGTATTTATTTTGAGGTCTTTAATCCATTTGGACCTGAGTTTGGTGCATGGGGATAGATATGATCTATTTGCATTCTTCTACATGTTGACATTCTGTTATGCCAGTACCATTTGTTGAAGATGCTTTCTTTTTTCCATTGTATAATTTTAGTTTTTTTTTGTCAAAAACCAGGTGTTCATAGGTTTGTGGATTAATATCTATGTCTTTGATTTGATTCCATTGGTCAACCTGTCTATTTTTATGCCAATATCAAGCTGTTTTCATTACTGTAGCTCTATAATAGAGCTTGATGCCAGGGATGGAGATGCCTCTGGAAGTTCCTTTATTATACAGGATTCTTTTGGCTATCCTGAGTTTTTTGCTTTTCCATATGAAGTTGAGTATTTTTCTTTCAAGGTCCGTGAAGAATTATGTTGGGATTTTGATAGGGATTGCATTGAATCTATAGATATGTTTTGGTAGAAGTGCCATTTTTATTATGTTGATCCTACATATCCAAGAGCATGGGAGATATTTCTATTTTCTGATGTTTCTTCAATTTCTTTCTTCAAAGACTCACAGTTCTTACTGAACAGGTCTTGCACATTTTTGGTGAGTGTTACCTCAAGATATTTTATGTTTTTGTGGCTATTGTGAAGGGTATTGTTTCTATGATTTGTTTCTCAGCTTCTTTATCATTTGTATATAGGAGGGCTACTGATGTTTTGAGTTGATCTTGTATCCTACCGCATTACTGAAGGTATTTATCAGCTGTAGGAGTTCCATGGTAGAAATTTTGTGGTCACTTATGTGTACTATCATATCATCTGCAAATAACGAAAGTTCAACTTCTTCCTTTCCTATTTGTATCCCCTTGATTTCCTTTTGTTGTCTCATTGTTCTAGCTAGAACTTCAAGAACTATGTTGAAGAGATATGGAGAGAGTGGACAGCCTTGTCTTGTTCCTGATTTTAGTGGAATCGCTTTGTGTTTCTCTCCATTTAGTTTGATGTTGGCTGTTGGCTTGCTGTATATTGCTTTTATTATGTTTAGATATGTTCCTTGAATCCCTGCTCTCTTCAAGACCTTTATCATGAAAGGGTGCTGGATTTCTAATGAGATGATCATATGGTTTTTTTCTTTCAGTTTATTTATATGGTAGATTACATTGATAGATTTTCATATGTTGAACCATCCCTGCATCTCTGGGATGATTATTTTGATGTGTTCTCAGATTTGGTTTGCCAGTATTTTATTGAGTATTTTTGCTGCATCATTGTTCAGGAAGGAGACTGGTCTGTAATTCTCTTTCTTTGTTGAGTCTTTGTGTGGTTTTGATATCAGGGTAACTGTAGCCTCATAAAAAGAGTTTGGTAATGTTCTTTCTGTTTCTATTATGTAGAACAC